GTTCGTAAATATAATTCTCTCTCTCTCTCTCTATATATATATATATATATAGTTCGTAAATATAACTATATATATATATATATATATATATATATCTATATATATATGTTTATATATTCTCTAACCATGATGAGTGAAAAGAGAAGCAAGAAAGAAAGTGGCGACTTCATGTTTCGAATGCTATTTCGGTATATGCATATATTCGAATGGTGGTTTCTATTTATACTACAATTAATTGGAATGTTTTTTTTTTATTTTTTATTATTATATATAATTATAGATACCAACATAATATTCAACCCCATGTTTCAAAATAAATTCGATAATTGATTATTAAAACGTTACCAATTTTATCTTCCTTTTCGAACCAACTTTTAAAATCTATATTTTAAATATTATCTTTTTAGACCTTTTTTTTAAGCAAATAAATCCAAAAATATTGTATTTGAAAAATTAAAACATACTCGACTTTACTTTTTTTTATTAACTTGGATATCCAACTCGTTATACGAGCCGACTAATCCCAAAACAACAATTCGCTTCACGGGTAGTACGAAATTACCACATTTGAACTTTCGTTGCCACAAGAGTAATTTTATTCCTATCATGGAAAACATTAATTTAGACACTAGATCTCATAAAATGTAATGTTTTGAAGATTGATTCAATAAAATTTAAATAATAAATTATATTACGTAAAATAATAACAAAAATAGCAAAGTTAGTTAATTTTCAATATAATTTGTCATTTTAAGATACATGTAACTTTTTTTTATTATACATTGATTTATATATGCTTAATTACATGTACTGTTATTAATTTTATATATTAAATAACCACAAGAGTCGTGCCTGATTGGTTTAAGCTTGACTTCAAAGGTCAAAAATACTATGAGGTCTTAGATTTAAATCCAAAAGAAATAAAAATTCTCTTGTGGCCACGGAGTTTCAAATGCCGTGACTCCGGGCTATCTGTAAAACAGGTGGTCGTCCTGGGATTAATCGACTCACATAGCGGGTTGGATATCCAGGTTAATCAAAAATAATTATATATTAAATTAAATAGTGTTATTATTAAAACGGTAAGAATTATAATATTTTTGTGTTATAATAAGTAGGAATTAAAAAATACTTTATGCCGATTATTGCTTTGGGATACTTTATGCCTGGTGGGAATTAAATTATTGATATTATATCCCTCTTATTTATACTATATTATAAAACATTTAACAAAAACTATTAAGACCCACTTTTTATGTATAAAGTAATGTTTATTAATACGTAATATTTAAAACTCAAGATTGCAAACAAATTGTGCGTAAGTACAACTTATTAAAGCTCCATATCTGAATTTCGTGTAACTAACTGCAGATAAACATAATCAAATACATGATAAACATCTCATTGTAAATATAAAAAATCTAAAACATAATTGAGTTATAATATAATACTTAATTATTATCATTATAAAATATTATATTATTAAACCAAAAATAAATTATTTCGTTATTAAACTTAAATTAAATTATAATAAAAAATNAACTTTTAAATAGTTGATTTGATATTAACATTGATATATATATATATTTTTTAAAATTTTTATGATATCTTCAGATTTATATTTTATTCGAAAATAAAATAATTATTGCTTTTCAATAAAACGTATTATAACATCGACATAGACAACTAATAAAATAGAAAATTAAAATCGAGATGTGTCTCACTGCGTTGCGCGAGTACTCTTCTAGTAAATATGAAAAGGTCGATTTAGAAATTACAAATATTTTAATATTCTTGAAAATTAATTATTCATTATAATTTATATGAGCTAAACAGTTTTATGAAAATAATATTTTGCAAAAGATATATATTTTAATGGTAAAATCTAAGATTTAAATTTTATTTAATTATTTTGCTTATTGTATTTAGAAGATATATGTTTGTGCCATAAATATTATTGATTAAAGAGAGGGACCAAATTCTGAAAATAAAAGTTGAGGGAGAGACCAAATATGTTATAAAAATGAAAAGTACTTGGGAGGCTAAATCTGTTACAAGATGAAAGATAGTTCGAGGGACTAAATGCGTTAATAAAAACGAAAGGTAAGGGAAAGAAGGGTCACTAATGGAAATTAATTAACAGTGTTAGAGGCAGAGACCATATCCGTTATAAATATGAAACTATAGGGATGTTCCTCGTTAAAAATTCTTATCAAGGACCTTACTCGTTAATTTATGTAAACCATAGGGACTAGATTTGCGTTTAACTTATTTAATAATAATTAAAAAATAGTACTATGAAAATAATTGATATGATTAATAATTGTTGTAACTAATTAATAAATAATATTAATGTATAATTTAAAATTAAATTTTAATTTATATTAATTAATATTAGTAATATATAAATTTATTAATATTTATTTATAATTAATATAAATAAATAATAATTAATATTAATCAGAGTTATAATTGGAAAAAGTGACAATAAACTACTAAAACGCTACTCCAAGTAGCATTCCAATAAACTAGCTTATATGTAACCAAACGTATACCCAGAAAACAAACTAGTTTATTTTTAACAAACAACACCTTAATAATTATTTTACGGTATAAAGATTAAGAGTTTATGTATTACAATAAATATGAACCATGTAATGTTATTACACACTTGTAAGTGTATAAATATGTCAAACAATATGTCGATCAATTAATTTATTGGAGTGGTTTGGTCATTTAAATTAGTCTAAATTAAGTTATATTGTTTTAACCACAAGGGTGGTACTTGATCGGTTCGAGCTTGGATTCCAAAGATCAAAAGTGCCTAGAGATCTCAGATTCAAATCCAAGGAGGAATAAAAATCCTCTTTTGGTCACAGAAGTTCAAATACAGTAACTTCGAACTACCCACAAAGCAGATGATCGCTCTGAAATTTGCCAACTTCATAGCAGATTGTGAGACATGGCACTAACAAGCTCGGCCAAAAATGACTTTGTTGGCATCGCTTGTTTAAAACGTGCTTGATAAGGAGTTTTTACTATATACCACATTAATAATTGACTAAGTTCAATTTGTGTCTTTTAAACGTGCATTTTTTTATTATTTTTCATAACAAACAAATATGTCTAAATTAAAACGATGTATCAAATCCTCAAATATAATATGTACGCATGAAATTATCATGTGCCCGTTACATAAAAAGGGCTTATATATTATTAATTTCAAACACAGTTATTTTATTTAAATAAAAGTTTAAGAATCATAAAAAACAAACTAAAGAAGAACCTACCTTAATTTATGTGACAAACATGTTTTTTTTAATTAATTTGGATATCTAACCCGCTATGCGAGCCGACAAATCTTTGGGCAACCGCCTGCTTTGCGGGTAGTCCGGAGCCAACACATTTGAACCTATGTGATCATAGGGGGGTTTTTATTTTTCCTTGGATTTGAACCTGTGACCTCCAGACATTTTCGACCTTTGGAACCCAAGTTCAACTCAATCAGACAACTTCCTTGTGGTTACAGATATGTTTTATGGTGAAAAGTTATCGCTTGTTAATGTTTATAAGTTTGAATAGGATGTAATTTGAATCTCTCGTAAAAATATTATTTATTATGGTATTTCTAAAGTGTCTTTTTTTGAGATGTAATCTCAATAACCTGGCATCACAGTTTGTAGTTGAAATATTCAACTTGATGCCAATAGGAGCCATTGGGGAATCAATAATTGATAGTAGAGTCTTAATTGAGAGTAAATTGCATGAAAATGTAATATTTTTATGATAACTGGATAATTCGGTTATAAAATTCGGGGTTATTTTCGAATAAGGTTGTTAAGTTAAGGGATTTAATGTGTTAATATGCCTAAATTGTTTTTAAATCCTACTGCCTTATCTCTTTAATTGTTTATTATATGAGATAAATCTATTATCTCATTGGAATGGTGGGTATGAAGTAAAAAAGACAATAAGCTTTTCTGTGTGTTATTGGGTGCGAATCAAACAGGAAACATAAGGAGGAAAGAACGGAATTGACTATGTGATTTCTACGTGGGAAATTAGTTGTTATTCATCTTCATAACCTCATCTCTTTGTGATTAAGTGACTTAATTTTACAAGCTTTCCTTATTTGGAATCTGGATGTAGAACCGTGTGGTTCTTTGTATGAGTAGTTGTTATAAAACTGTTTTGGATGCCATAATTGACAAAATTGTGAGACTTTGATATGTTTATATCATGTGTTGGAATAAGGGTGACATATCAAGGAGATGTGTATTTTGGTTATAAGGGTGACATATCAAGGAGATGTGTATACTGAGATAAGACTGACATATCAAAGAGAGGTGTATACCAGGATAAGGGTGGCAAAATCATGAGTTATAGAATCTAGGTAGTTGATCAAAACCTTCATTGTTATTGCATCTTTATGATGCGATGACTTGAAGTTGTCGCATATGTGTGATGCGATGACTTAGAGTTATCGCATCCTATTGATGTGATAAAAAGTGGTTATCACATCTATATGATGTGAGGAATGGTTTTTATCGCATCTAATTGATGCGAGAAGAATGGTTTATCGCACTATTGTGATGCAATGAGTTGAGGTCTTCGTACCAGTGTGTTACGAGGAAATGAGGTTGTCTCACCCATGTGATACGAGAAAATTTTATACTCATCTATATGATGCGACAAGTTTACTCAAAATGTGTTTATCAAGTTACTTGGATATTTTGATGCGATAAATGAGGCTTATTACATCGAAATATTGTATATTTGTTATTTTTACAAATATGAATTCATAAATATGATTTGATGATTATTCACCCTGTAATAGCACCAAAGGGAAATCTCACTAGATCTCAAAATCTAACCACAAGGACAAAAATGTAATTTACTTATAAAAACAATTGATTGCCTTATTTCGGTGTGACACCAGTAATAAGCACTTTTAAGTGTTTGGATAAACAACGTATACCGGTAATAAAGAGTTTTTGAAGAAGTTAAACTCTTTTGACTTATAATAGGTTGATAAATGTTTTTGTAGAAAATCATAAGTTGTTTCAAATAAGCAATCCCAAACACCTTTTTAATCTTTAATTTTTTACAATCATCATTCAAATATCAAAATTGCTAGAAATGCAAGTTTTTTTACTTAATTTAAAACGAAAAAAATCAAAATTAAAATGA